TGAAAAACATTAGTACTAATATTTTACAAAATAGCAAAAGTTCTACAAATAGTGAAGACACTAGTGTCAAAACAGTGTCTAGGTTAATCTGTAAGTTTCTCCTTGTCTTATGGTTTGAGGCAAGTCATTTGACTTTGTTAGGCTTCCCTTCGTCTGTAAAGATAGGGGATATTTATTTTCCCTTACAAGATATTTGAGGGTTAATGCAGTACTTGGCTCGTTATTCATTATATCTGCAGTTTTGAAGGGTTTTATTTTAGGATGAATTGATGAGACTGAGAATTAGGTAGAAGGTGCGTTTGGGAACTCTTTAATTTCCACATTCAAATGTGACAATCACATTCTAGGTATGTAATTAAAAATGGTTCCTTTTATAATGTATATTAATGTGAAGTGACAGAAGAGCTAAGGTTTTTTTGTTTTGTTTTGTCTTAAGTAATCCCTATGCCCAAAGTAGCGCTCAACTAGCCAGGTACCCGAGCTAAGGGTTTTCGTTGTTCTTCCTCTTCGCAATTATAGTCATATCCCAGTCAAGAAGGGCTACTCGTTAGAGATGGCCCTTGACTGAGTCATTGCAAGATGATTTTGAACAGCTGTCCTACTGAAGTCATGAAAGTAAGCCATTCATTTGCAGCATCTGGGTATTAGTGTCATTTCCCAAAATCTATCCAAAAGGTCTATTTCGGAAAGCTAACAGCTCACTGTGGGTACTCCACTCCCAGCCTAGGACTTGCTCTTTCATAGGCTGGAACATGTGTAAAGGCTGAATTTTGAGATTGCATTAGAATCTTAAATTATAAGAACAAAAATGATTAATGGGAGTGCTCACAGTTTCTACCATTCATCCCCTCCTCTCAATTCAAGGAGTTAATGCAGTTAGAACAATTCACTGGACTCCTAAAATGCAGATTAATGGAGAATAGGAGATGGAAGGAGACTGGGAGGAAAGGAGGAATTTAGTCAAGAGAGCTTGGGTCAATCTACATAATAAAAACTGTGACAATGGTTAAGGGAGGGGGAAGAATGGAGGAAGGCTTTAAAATATTCTTTTTGGAGTTATAATAAAACTTAAAAAAAACCCTGTCATCCTAACAGCTAATCTCACATTTGTCTATTAGTGAAGCAATAGTATTTGTGTTGGCCATTCATTGACAATTCTATAGCATTCAAACAGTAAGGCTGCCCTAGTACATCATCCTCAGGGACAATCTCCACTTCTGTGACCATTTGATGCATTCTTTTCTGTAACATTCATTTGCTGCCTAATCACATAATGCCTAAGATCTAAGAAATCTCGTGCTATTATGTAAAAATATGTTGAGGAGGAGAGGCTTACGGGATTGGAAGTCTGGAAATAAGAATTGCAGTGTACAGTCTGTCACTGCCTTGCTGTGTGACAGATAAGCTCGTTTTATTTAAGACAGTTTCTTCAACTACAAAATGAGTTTCTGAAACTGAAATAACTAAGGCTTCTTCCTGGCTTAAACCTTATTTTTTGGTAATCTTCATTAAATGCACTTAATGTATGTTATATCAGTTAATTATCTCAATAGTTGTGTCAGTGAATGTCAACCAGATATTATGTTCTCTAGGAAGTCTTCTTGGGCTGTCTAATGGGTGCCCAGTTTGGATTAAATGTGATCTCTGTGCCTCTATAGTAAGTACTGTGGACTGGCCTGTAATACAATTTAACATAATATTTATATGCTTAGTATTTCTTCTCCACAAAACTGTAAGTTCCCTGAGGGATTTATAAATTATATGAATTCCAACACTTAAACAGTACCTAGCATAGGTATTTAATGAAATGAATGAATGGAGTTCCATCCAGTAGTAGAATCTTCTGCAGTAAAACCACTGGTAAGCAATTGTTGCAAGTTAATAACTAAGGAATCTATATCCTGCATTAAAGCAAATAGTCTAGAAATAAAGTAGACAAGACACACTTTACATAAAATTTATAACATTTATTTAGGCAAAAAAAAAAAAAAATCCCAAAACAAAACTCTGTACACACAACATTAATACCTAAGTGATGTCCTGATTTAAAATATAGCATGATTCATGTACAGAACACTCCCATTCATCTGGCCAGAGTGAGAACAGTGCCTTCAATCCAGATAACTGAGAGCCTTGGAAATGTATACACAGTACATTTCCCAGTGAACTTTTCATATCCTTTGAAAGGAGTTAAACTCTTCCATCAAAATTCAAGCAAAAGATAGCTTTTCTCTCACAAGTCTGTGGGAATTTAACAGTGGGAATTCTATAAAAGTCAAAGATTTTAAAATTTTATTCTTGTAGATTATCTGAGTATAAATCTTGACATTAACATTGTCCCCTTTTTAAAGAAAAAAATGCTCTAAATAATTTCTTGCTTTTATGAAAGTGTATCTCAGCTTTCATTAGCTAAGTAGCTTCTTGCTTCTAAGCTGATTACAATAAGTTTAAAAGAACCCATTTGAACAGTTTTCCTAAAAGTTCGAAATTAAGCACGTAGTATTAATGACCTAGGTTTATGATTTTCTATAGAGTAGTTCTGAGAAATTTGGATTTTCTAAATATTATTAATAGCCATTCTATCTAGCTCTAAAGTTTGGTTGTGCCATCCAAATGAACTTTGCTTCATCCAGAGAAATGAGAAATAGCATGGACTTTCCCATAATTTACCCAAAAATATTGGGTAAGGGGAGAAACAGAGAAAGCTCTTTCTCAGGCTATCCATCAGTTAATACAGAATGTCTTAGGTTAAGATTTGGGAACTAAGGAATGCATAATTAGGAGTGTACCGTGTCATGCAAAGTCTGAGATACTAAAAAAGATAAAGCAATTGCTCATTTAAAGCACATTCAGCAAATTCCTATCATACTGCTATTCTCATCACTGCATGAAGGTTGGATTTGCATTATTCCTAAAATAAACAGTACATGAGTTAACACTTAAAATGAAAAATGTGTCAATACAAAGCAAACAGTAAAGATTAAACATCCAATATCCACACAGTCATTTGAAACTACAATGGATTTGAGAGGGAAACCGTTAAGTTTGCAAGCTTTTCTGTAAGCTGCCTTAGAACACTACTCTGAAGCCCTATCCATATCAAGTTCTCAAATAAGTAACATACAGATAAAACTGCCCACATCAGCTGACTTTATGATACTGCCTTTAATTTACACCTTCAGTTTAATAATACTGTTTGTTTTGAAATAAAAGTTGTAAAATGACCAAATACTGTAAACATGGCATTAGAGAGGGCAGGAAAGGGGTGGGTTTTCCCTGTTACTCATGACCTCTTTTCAATTTCAGGTACTGCTGCAGGTTGTTCTATGAGGGTGTCATGCATTTTGAAACACTAAGCCAAAACCACTGTCCATTAATGTATCGTAATTGAGCACATAAAATATATTTTCATTAAAATGTGCTCCAAAAGGCTTGAAGGCCCAATGCCATCTTGATACATGGCATAATTAAACATACAGCCAAATGTAAGTGACCAGGGAAGAAAAAGGGCCAACTCACAAGGTCTCAATAGTAAGAACAACTTCCTATGCTTGATAGATCGATGTTTTTAAACATGAATCTTTGAAGTTTGCAAACAGAAGAGAACATGAAATTAAATTCCCATAGCACCCTTTTATGGTGATTCACCTCCACCTTGGGTAATTAAGTTCACTAGCGCCACCAAATGGCATTTCTGTTCAGGGGTAAAGAGCAGCAATATTTAAGGTCAATTCCTGGAACTGTGGGTCTGATAAGATTTTTAAAATCTTAAATTAAGATCAGTAACCACTGAGTCCTTGGCCAGAGAGTACACTAACCCCTTATTACTACTTGATATATGTTTCTTTTCAACTGCCAAAATGAAAAGTGATTTTTTAGAGTGTAAAGACCACGAGCAAAACTTATTTGATGTAAAGAACAAGATGCCTTATTTTTGCTTTAATTTTAGACTGTTCTTGCTTTACTCAATGATACCAACATGCATCATTATACTCTAAAAAGTCTAATTCCATTTCCTTTGGTAGATCTAAACCTTGCTGCTGCTTGGGGACTGATGTAGTGATATTTTACAATATCTGAGTGCACCAATGATTTGAGCAACGAGTGGTTCAACCCTAGTCTAAATTGTGCTTGAAACAGCACCTCTAAGCCACTGAAGAGGTAACCCTTGAAGGCACCAAGTACTGTTACATTCTACTATACACATGTAAAAGGGTGGCCTAATAGATTCTAACTGTAGACACAGGCCAGTTATGCCTCATAATTTCAATATATACATCTACTATATTTTAGCCAGATTCAAGACCTTACAGACAATTCTGTGCCTTAGTTAGATACACAATTTTAAGAACCATCCCAACCACAAAGGCACTACAATTTTTATTTACGGGATTGATCAGTTCTTTTGCTTTTAAGACTCAGAAATATCCCACCATTACCAATGTTCAAAGTAGTAAATTTAAAATTGAGTTTCAATATTTTTGAGTCTTCATCTATCAAGTTATTCTGAGTAATGAAGGGGGTAATTGTTTTTTGTACATTTTTAGCTATTTCTGAAAGCAATTCGTAGAGATAAAAACCTATACCTAGCCTCTAAGGAACACGCACTTTTGAACAGGAGAGAAGAGAAACTTGAAGCCAAACTTCTTAAACAGACTTTCCCTTAACTGTACAAGCTAAGAGGACTGGAAATAATCAACATAGCTAGCGATTTCCAAGCTAGTGCAGGCTGCTCTATTTTCTACACTCTGCCTTAGACATTAAAATCCAGGAAAAAGGGAGAAAGCTAAAAGAATCTTCCATTTCCCCCTAAATAGACAATCTGTGGAAATTTATCTTGAGCCTATAAAAATTCCTTAAACCAATTAAGTCAGAAGCAATTCACAATATAATATTGTTTTTAATGGTTCTAAATACCTTTTTTTTTTTTTTTTTTAGTTTAAGTTTTCATCCCTGCAAAGGAGTACGAAATAATTCAAGTATGATTTTTGTGATAGTGGTATGAAATATGTATGTCAAAAATGTTATCAGCATAATAAGCCAGTTCCTTTCTAAATAAAAGTGCTTCTGAATAATAATCATAATTTAAACATACATTTTAAATCTCTATTGAAAACACTTTGGCCATCTATGAAAAAAAATGCAGTCATCTGAAACTGTGATTAACCTTATTCACAAACTAAAATTGTAGATGGAAATTAAGTTTCTTGGTGACCTGCTGCCTCCCTGCTGCCATTATTGATATAATGATAACTGATTCTTACTATGCTGCAATGGGTATCTTAAAAAGAAAGGCAATTGTCTAAAAAATAACCCATCAAAAAAACATTTCCTTTTACGCACTACAACTAGAATCATTACATTTAACAACAGTCTAATGCTTCTCATTCATATTTGGCAGTGAGATGTGGACATCTTTCTCCAACATGAGAACATTAAGATACATGTATTTTGGGGAAAAGAAAAGAAAATTTGACTTCTTGTGACAAAATTTACTGCTGTTAATTGTATTTAACTGAGCAGGTAATACCATGTGTAGTCTCTATTTCACTGAATAAAATGACTTTGAAATAGAGGGAAAATAATGGTCAGTTTTAACAAGAGACAATTTTATAAAAATTCACATTTTCACAATAGTAGGACTTCTAGAGATTTATACAATTAACTTTTAACACGGACTGTGGTAATATTTTACACTGTGATGTCCGGGAAAATACTTCTAGAGAGTAACCAGCAGTCTGTGTAGGAAGCAGCAGCCCATGCTTCCAGGAATAAATATCAGTAACAAGCTACTACCTACGGCCTTGGCAGAGGTGGGCTCCAGAAGGATCGCCTGTCCCAGTTTAAAAACTGGACTGAAAGAGCAGACCTTTCTCTAGTTCCTTGTCTCTTTTTCCCTCAATAGTTTTCCTTCCAATATATTGTTTCTGCCAACCCTCGGGGCTCCAGTTGGTGAGCAGCCTTCAAAGAGGCCTTGGATTTCCACTCTTTCACACGAAGAAGGACATCTTATAAAAGGTACACAGACAGAGAAGAAAGGCATTTATACAGAAGCAGTATAAAACTTACAACTGAAGCAGTGCCAGAGATCAGGTTAACAGCTTTTCTGAAGCTGCAAATTGATTGGAAGAGACTTTAAGATCAGAAAAGTCTGGCCTAAGGGTTCGTGCAAACTTTATCATAAAACCGTAGAATTTCAAGCACAGGTAAGTTCAAACACGGAAAGATGTGGAAAATTTCCTAAAAGGCAATGATGAAGGAAGAGACCCTTCTTGCCTCAGAAGTTAAAAACCACAAGACAAATTAGAGACTGTTCACATGGGCAGTACTTTACACCGTCCATCCCAAACTGATCTTATGACTCATATGATAGAAACCTCTAAAACATCACAGAGGGTAAGATATTTCAAATGAACCTATCACAAAAAAGATTCATGTGATTCAATTATTCAATTACTTATGGCTATCAATTTAGTCTAGCCTGGGACTGCTTTTTACAGGGAGGTGGTCTCCCATGACGCACAATGTGTTTTTCTAAGCTGTCTAGAATGGCCACAGCAATCTGTTGGACATGGGGATCCGTCTGCTCGTGTTCCTTGATGTTGTATAAATGTTGCAATCCTCCTTCCTCAATCAGCATGCTGCAGTACCTTGAGGCTGAAAGAGGAGAAAGAGCTTTTCTTAAAACACTTAAAAATTATTCCATACACAAAACAGTTCTTTTTTTCACTTAAATTTGAGCTATTTTTGTTATTGACCACTAATATATGCTAAACTTCAATAAATACCTCTGTAATGATGTTACGTTTACACTGCAAGGCTCTACACATAACAGTGATTCTCTAATTCATAGATATACATATGATTCTCATATTCATGTACATATGGTTCTCTTATCAAAGCTATCACAGCTGTGGGTGGGGGATTGGGTCCCTCACATCCACAAGTCTCTGTATGGAAAGAAAGGACAGTAGGAAACTACTTAGATGTTTAAACCAACCCTCTTCCTCCCTTTCCTTATACTTTAACTGGGACAGATGCAATAATGGAGGTATGTGGAAATTAAAAAAAATTTTTAATGTTTACTTAGTTTTGAGAGAGAGAGACAGAACATGAGTAGGGGAGGGGCCAAGAGAGAGGGAGACAGAATCTGAAGCAGGCTCCAGGCTCTGAACTCTCAGCACAGAGCCTGACATGGGGCTCGAATTCACAAACTGTTAGTTCATGACCTGAACCGAAGGCAGACACCTGACGAAGCCACCCCGGCGCACCTTTAAAACAGTTATATGAAAAGGCATAGACAATTACTTTAACATGGTAAAAGAAACATTTGTATGTCCTTAAAAAAAAAAAAGAAAGAAAAGAAAAAGAAACATCTGTATGTTCTTAGACTCAAAGTTTGATAAAAGTACCATTCCATGTGGCAGACTGTATGTTGACTGGCTAGGTTGAATAGGTTTCTCCCATGTGTTTTATACAAAAAAAAAAAAAAAAAAAGAAATGGATAAACCATTTTTTACCAAAAATAAATTAAAAAATCCCATAACCTTAAAGCATAGACAATCTGGGAAAGAAAGCTTCTTTGATCCCAAATCATAGGTAAGATAGGTGCTATTACACTCTTATGCATTTCTTATATATTTTTTAAAAATCTAATGGCATTCATATTATACAATTTTAAAATACTTTCTTTGCCTTGTTTTTAAGTATTTCTTCTTTTTTAAAATTTTTTTTAATGTTTTTATTTATTTATTTATTTATTTATTTAAATATTTTTATTTATTTCTAGGAGAGAGAGAGAGACAGCATGAGCAGGGGAGGGTCAGAGAGAGAGGGAGTCACAGACTGAAACAGGCTCCAGGCTCTGAGCTGACAGTCAGCACAGAGCCCAACGCGGGGCTCGAACCCACGAACCGCGAGATCATGACCTAAGCGAAAGTCGGACACTTAACCGACTAAGCCACCTAGGCGCCCCTATTTTTATTTATTTTTAGGAGAGAGAGAGAGACAGTGTGAGCAGGGGAGAGTCAGAGAGAGAGGGGGTCACAGACTGAAACAGGCTCCAGGCTCTGAGCTGCCAGTCAGCACAGAGCCCGACGCGGGGCTCGAACCCACGAACCGCGAGATCATGACCTAAGCGAAAGTCGGACACTTAACCGACTAAGCCACCTAGGCGCCCCTATTTCTTCTTTTTTATATATACTACTTTTAAAAGTATTTTTAGTTTTAGTCATATTTATTAAACTATAATTTATACACAATAAAATATACCCAATTTAATTTATAGTTTGATGAGTTTTGGCAAATGTATACACTTGAATAAGCAACACCACAATCAGAATATAGAATATTAAAAAAAAAAAAAGAAAGGTTCTTTCTGCACCTTTGCAATCTTCTCTGCAGCCTCACCTAGGCAATCACTTTTCTAATTTCAATGATATAGATAGGCTACTTGTGCTTGGTCTAGAACTTCATGTAAATACAATCATCAGTATGTATTCTTTTGAGTCTGTCTACTTTTGCTCAGCATGGGTTTAAAACAGTTGTTTTAAGTTGAACATTTTTATTTTAATGTTTATTTTTGAGAGAGACAGAGTGAGTGGGGGAGGGGGGGGAGAGAGAGAGAGAGAGAGAGAGAGAGAGAGACAAACACACACAGAATCTGAAGCAGGCTCCAGGCTCTGAGCTGTCAGCACAGAGCCCCGTGAAGGGCTCGAACTCATGAACTGCGAGATCATGACCTGAGCTGAAGTTGGAAGCTCAAGTGACTGAATCACCCAGGTGCCCCATTTTTTGTTTAATGTTCATTTATTTTTGAGAGAGAGTGAGCATGTGTGTGTGTGGGGGGGGGTGGACAGAGAGAGAGGAAGACAGAGGATTTGAAGTGGGCTCTATGCTAACAGCAGCAAGCTCAATGTGGGGCTTGAGCTCACAAACCCTGAGATCATGACCTGAGCTGAAGTTGGAAGCTTAACTGACTGAGCCACCCAGGAGCCAGCACAAGTATTTTTGTGGACTTTTTGTTTCAATGATCTTGAGGAAATACTTAGAATGCTGGGCAAATGCTAAATGTATGCTTACCATTATAAGAACTTACCAAACTGTTTTCTAAAATGAGTGTATAATTCTTTAATTATTTTAAATGTTTATTTATTCTGAGAGAGAGAAAGAGAGAGAGAATGAGTGGGGGAGGGGCAGAGAGCAAGGGAGTGACAGAGGCTTTCAAATAGGCTCCCCTGGGAGCCTAACTCAGGGATCAAACTCACAAACCATGAGATCATGACCTAAGCCAAAATCAAGAGTTAATGCTTAACTGAATGAGCCACCCAGGCGCCCCAAAAATGGCTGTATAATTTTTCAATCTGATCAGTAATGAAAAAGTTGTTTCACTTCCTTGCCAGCACTTGTCATCATTCATCTTGTTTATAGGCAGCCTTTCTAGTAAGTGTAAACTAGTGTCTCATTGTGGTTTTATTTATTTAATTTTTAAATGTTTATTTATTTTGAGAGAGCAAGAGTGAGTGGGGAAGGGGCAGAGAGAGAGGGAAAGAGAGAATCCCATACAAGCTCCAAGATGACTGCACAGGGCTCAAACCCATGACCTGGGCTGAGATCAAAAGTCTGACGCTTCGGCACCTAGGTGGCTCAGTCGGTTAAGCATCCAACTTCAGCTCAGGTCATGGTCTTACAGACTGTGGGTTCGAGCCCTGTGTCATGCTCTGTGCTGACAGCTCAGGGCCTGGAGCCTGCTTTGGATTCTGTGTCTCCCTCTCTCTGCCCTTCCTCTACTTGCTCTCTCTCTTTCAAAAATAGACATTAAAAAAAAATTTTTTTTTAAAGTCTGACACTTAACTGACAGAGCCACCCAGATGCCCCTCATTGTGGTTTTAATTTGTATTTCTCTAATGACTAATGATGTTGAGCTTCTTTTCATTTGCTTGCTCACTGGCCATTCACAGGATCTCTTTGTAGAAAGTCTATTTAGTCCTTTGCCCATTATTAAACTGGGTTATTTTTATCATTGAGTTGTAAGAGCTCTTTATATGTTCTGAAAATGTCCCTCCATCAGTTATATAATGTGCAAATATTTTCAACCTTTCTGTAAATTATCTTTTCACTTTCTTTTTTTTTTTTTTAATATAATGTTGGAACAGATCTAAAGGCGGTGTTTTTTATTTAATGTTTTATTTATTTCTGATCGAGAGACAGCGTGAGCAGGGGAGGGTCAGAGAGAGAGGGAGACACAGAATCTGAAGCAGGCTGCAGGCTCTGAGCTAGCTGTCAGCACAGAGCCTGACGCGGGGCTCCAACCCACAAACCGTGAGATGGTGACCTGAGCCGAAGTCGGACACTTAACCGACTGAGCCACCCAGGTGCCCCATCTTTTCACTTTCTTGATGGTGTCCTCTGTAAATTGTCTTTTCACTTTTTTTAAATGAGCTTATTCTTTTTTTTAAACATTTTTGAGTCAGAGAGAGACAGAGCATGAGCAAGGGAGGGACAGAGAGAGGGGGAGACATAGACTCTGAAGCAGGCCCCAGGCTCCAAGCTGTCACCCCACAGCCTGACACGAGGCTCAAACTCACAAACTGTGAGATCATGACTTGAACCAAAGTTGGATGCTCAACCAACTGAGCCACCCGGGCTCCCCTATCTTTTCACTTTCTTGATGGTGTCCTTTGAAGCACAAAGTTTTAATTTTCTTTTTTTACATGTGCCTAGTCAGTTTTCCAAAAGTCATTTGCTGAAAAAAATGATTTCTTCCCCAGTAAATTGTCAAAATCAATTTTGGGGTTTATTTCTGCACTATCAATTCTAATACATTGATATATATGTCTGTCCTAAAGATGCTGAACATCTTTTCATGTGCCTATTTGCCATCCAATAATCTTCTTTGGTAAAGGATCTGTTCAACTCTTTTGTCCATTTTCTCTTCACTTGTATTGTTTTCTTATATTAAGTTTTGAGAGTTTTCTTTCTCTCTCTCTCTCAAAGATTTTATTTTTAAGGAATCTCTACACCCAACACAGGGCTCAAATTCACAACCCCAAGATCAAGAGTTGCACACCCCACCGACTGGGCCAGCCAGGTGACCTGAGAATTCTTTATAAAAATTTTGAGTACCTATGCTTTATCAGACATGTGATTCACAAATATTTTGATCAAGTATGTGTATTGGCTTTTGATTCTTTTAACAGTGTCTTTCAAAGAACAGAAGTCCTTAAGTTTGATCAAGGGCAATTTAGCAATCTTTTTCTTTTGTAGATCATGCTTTTGTGCACATTTAAGAAATTTGCAGGGGCGCCTGGGTGGCTCAGTTGGTTAAGCATCTGACTTCGGCTCAGGTCATGATCTCGCAGTCTGTAAGTTCAAGCCCTGCATTGGGCTCTGTGCTGACAGCTCAGAGCCTGGAGCCTGCTTGGGATTTTGTGTCTCCCTCTCTCTCTCTCTGCCCCTCCCCAACTCATGCTCTACCTCTCTCTGTCTCAAAAATAAACAAACACTAAAAATTTTTTAAAAAGAAAGAAATTTGCAGGGTGCCTGGCTGGCTTGGTCGGTAAAGCATGCAACTCTTGATCTTGGGGTTGTAAATTCGAGCCCCACGTTGGATTGTAGAGATTACTTAAAAAATATAATCCTAAAAAAAAAAAAAAAAA